GTAATTATTTTCTAATGTATTTCATGATTGTATGGCTATATTGTTGTTGTTGCTGTTGTTGTTATTTCTCCCCAGCCTGTCTAGGCTCCCCCTGTGTCTTGTTGCCGCTCACTTCAACATTCCTAGTGGTTCCTCGCTCATGACTGCCTGTCTTTCCTTCAACGAAACTTTCCCTTATTTTTGAGAAAGAGCGTACCAATGATCAGCTGTTCTGGTGTACTGGGCTAAAATTTTCTAATGGTTTTTTTTCTTATTGCAGTTTCTTAATTTCTGTGATGTCAACTGCATGCGCGTGATAAATGTTTTGATGAAATTCCAATTCCAAGTGTTGGGAAAAAAAACAAGAAAAGATACACAAAAGGTAAAGGTGTGATTGTATTGAAATTGTCAAAACTATGGACAGTTTTTGTCTCTCTCTCCTGAGAAATGTTGCTTTGTGGGTTAAGAAAACGTGAAGAGAGTATCGACGATATTGTGGCGCATACATATAAGTACTCCTTATCCCTGACTGTCTGAGGGAGCCTTTGTGGATTCTGTGAAGTCTGGTGGCTGCAAATTTTTTAGGATGGGGGAGGGGGGGGGTGACGGGGTGCAACAAAATGTTCTATCTTGTTACAAAAGAACTTTTCCTAGATCTGCTGTTGATGCATTTATAATTTATTGATTCTGTCAATGTCAGCTAGAGGGCCCCACAGGACACCTGAGATTACTTACTGAAATTTTACTTTTTGAAAATTATTGCTACTTTTTGCCTTCTTGTTTGTATGCTTTTCTTTGCTTTCTCCTCATGCAACTGTTTGTTCCATGTATTCCTTCATACAGCGCTGTTTTGTTCCATGTATTCCTTCATACAGCGCTGTTTTGTTCCATGTATTCCATCATACAGCGCTGTATTGTTCCATGTATTCCATCATACAGAGCTGTTTTGTTCCATGTATTCCATCATACAGCGCTGTTTTGTTCCATGTATTCCATCATACAGCGCTGTTTTGTTCCATGTATTCCATCATACAGCGCTGTTTTGTTCCAT